TTTTACCAGGCACAGAATTTGCTCATCTATCCACAGTTAATGCTTACGTCACCCTCTTCCGCCGAACATAACGCACCCTAAAAATGAATGTATACAAGCTATATTTCCGGCCAGATACAACCAAAATGAGGGTGCGTTGTGTTCGGGGGAAGACGGTAGTAAACACAGACATATTTGTTACTGCCTAACTCTAGCAACACTCTAATCCTAGATTACCCCACTTCTACTCTACCTACCTTAGCTCACCTTTTTTTTTTTTTTTTTTTTTTTTTTTTTTTTTCAACCCTAGCTCACCCTTATATCTAAATACACATTCTTTTTTTTTTCAATTTTAAAACTGCACAGGAATTTTCCACTTCCTCAATGAGAGAAAACTCATTCCCACCTTGTCTCCCACACCCTACCGTCTTCACTCGCCAAGGTGATTATCGCTGTGTCTAGACTGGAATTTGTGTTCCAAATACAGGCGTATTGAACGGGTGTTCTATTGGAGGGGTGTAGACAGTAGCGGCTATTCCCCTAGGCCGGTAGCCTCTTTAAGAAAAATTCTCAATACCTTTTTTTTTTTTTTTGAATTAAATAGCAGCTGATACGGGCTACCATCAGGCAGGGATAAGAGCCCATGTGTGATGGGAGGTCCGCTTTGTGGTGTCTCCGGTTTAAAAAAAAAAAAGGAAAAAAAAAAAAAAAGGGAGATTCTCATCGGATGTCATCAAACTGATTGATTGATTGATGAACTAAGGGCCTAGTTGCACCACTCATCATCGGCCAAGATCTCGAATGCATCTGGACAAAAACGCTGTCCAGATGCATTCAGAATGTTGGCAGATGGTGAATGGTGAGTGATGAACTAAGGGCCTACTCGTCGCACCACTCGTCATCGGCCAAGAATTTCAACTGCATCTGCTCGTGCAGTCTGTCCAGATGCATTCAAAATGCTGGCATATCGCGAGTGGTGTTCAACTGGGCCCTAAATCCGGGATGTTGTCCTTCGGGACATCCGTTAAAATTGGAACGATACAGAGAAGGGTAAATTAGCGAATGGCCCCTGCGCAAGGATGGCACGCATAAATCGAGAAATGGTCGAAATAAAAATGAATAAATAAAATCCGGGATGAAAAAAACGATGATTCAGAAGTAAGTGCAGGACAAAAGAAGAAAGATCCCACTAGCACAGAGGATCGGATTAAGCGCCTGAATCTGGACGGGTTTCATGAAGAAATGCTGAGAACGACAAAACCTCAATCGCCATTTTGTGCACATGTAGACAAACCCGTCCAGATTCAGGCGTTTAAATCCAACCCTCACTTTGTGCACATGTAGACAAACCCGTCCAGATTCAGGCGTTTAAATCCAACCCTCACTTTGCTGGTGCCATCTCGCCCCTGATTGCCCCCCCCCCCCCCCCCATTCTCTCGATCTTCAATGCCGCTCAAGCATTCCTATTGTTATTATATTATTATTATATTATTATTATTTAAATTTATTTTGCTATTTTCTTAGAATGTATTAAGCATGATCTCGAATTGTACTGAATATACATTTAAATGTCATTTTGATTTGGAAAAATAAAATAAAAAACTTAAAGGTACTCTTACCAAGGAAGGCCTCTTGTGTTGTGGATGTGAAAAGAGATGTCTACCTGCTCAGGGCTTTGCTCCCCTGGTACTTTCCGCCTCGCTACCTTATTCCCCCAGATATAACGCACCTTCATTGTCACTGTATCTGACCGGAAATATGGCTTGTATACCTTCGAAATCAGGGTGTATTGTGTTCTCGGGAATACAGTACCACGCTGTTCGAGAAACGAAGTGCTGAAAAAAAAAAAAAAAAAGTGCCACACTTTGCAACCGATTCGGAATTGGATGGACTCGAACCCGTCACCCTAAAGTTTGCCGAACGCCGATGACAGACGGTACTGAAATCAGACTCGTTCTCAAACACACTCTTCAAGCATGTAAACAGCAACGCATCATACTGGCGACATGCGCCCAAACAAAACTCAGAGATATGGCTGCAAGATACGAGCTCACTCTCAATTAGCTATGGCAACTTCAGCGCCCACACAACTCACTGTTTACACACACTGGATCACCCTGGATATCCCACACACATCACTCTAACACTCGAGCACACACACACACTCACTACTAACTACAGCTATGGCAGCTATGGCTGCCTCTAACCTATCACTATGCTAACTCCTCCTCTCTCGCCCACTGCGTCCTCCGGGCTCATCTGCAGACCTCCTTGCACAAG